TGAAAAAAAAAAAAGAATCAGATCAAAGAAAATACATATGTCGATTTTGTCTGAATTGTCCTAATTGTCTCCATCCTCCATGTTGGGCTAAGAAGATGCTGGAAAAGAATCTTACAAACCGTCTCCCACAAGCATGAAGATCCTGGGATCTGGTGAGGTCAAGTGACTTGCTCAATAGCACACAACTACTTAGTCCTTGTATGCACATATGAATAATAAAAGAAAAATGAAAAAAAAAAAAGAATCAGATCAAAGAAAATAACATATGTCGATTTTGGTCTGAATTGTCCTAATTGTCTAACATCCTCCATGTTGGGGCTAAGAAGATGCTGGAAAAGAATCTTACAAACCGTCTCCCACAAGCATGAAGATCCTGGGATCTGGTGAGGTCAAGTGACTTGCTCAATAGCACACAACTACTTAGTGGCAAAGCCATGCCATCAGTTCTTCATCTGTCTTAAACTTGACATTCACTCATGATACAGAGCGAGAAATATACGCTAACACTTTTGTAAAACCAGAAAGGCAAGCCACAATTAGTCCAAAATATTTCAATGTCACTAACTATAAGAATGTAAGTGCAAGTTTTCTACAAATAGGAAAATTTTTATCAATTTTACTGTGTTCTATCCTAACATAAAAAGCAAATATAAGAGCAAGGTGACAAGGACTACTGGGGGAAAAGAAACTTTCCAGCCCACTTTATAAGCAAGAACAAAACAAAACTGAAGGTCAGGAACTCTGAGCAGCTAAGAACATCAATATTTCTGTGCTCTTTCAATTGGGTCCCAGGGTGACCAAGAGATGAACAAAATGGATTCTAAAGAAAGAGCTGTGTAAAAGTCAGGAGGTAATTTATCTTTGTATAAGAAAAAGTAGCCCTAATAAAGTAAAGAGTAGGGGAAGAAGGATGAAACAAACGAACAGCCTATTTCCCAAGTATGACTAGCTACTATAAATGAGCAGGTGAGGTAAACAGGTACAGGCTAGGGGCTTTTCCAGTTGTTACTTCTTGATTAATTAACAACTGCAAAGAAGAAAAAGAGTCTCAGCTTTATTTATACTTCTGTGTGCTTCCTCCATTCCTAAATTTAATAGATATGGGTAGGAGGTAGGATTTAAGTTTTATTGGTCTTACCTATCACCACAGAGCTGTCAACTTGTAAAAGAGAAAATATACTTCAAAATAAGTTGTGGAAGCCCTGTCAGCTGTACCTACAAAACAGATTTCCAGTCTTTACATTAGTTCTCTTGTCTTGCCTCTGGATTGCTGCCTTGAATCAGAATTGTTTCACTTGCCCTGCCACCAATCTCATTAAAACACAAAACAGAGCAATGACTCCCCTCTCTGAAGGCTTCTCACTGAATGTAATTAAAATACAACGCCCTACTGCAGCCTACAACTCCCCATGACCCCAACTGTAGTCTGTAAAGCATACACAATCTGGCCCTTGCTACCTCTCCGACTTCAGGTCCTCTAGGAATCTGAAGCTCGCTATGCAATGACTCCACAGACCTTCATTTTCCCCTTGCATTTGGAAGGAACTAAGTTCCTTCACACATACCAAAGTCATGGTACCTGTTACCCTACTCAACAGTCTCAGGGCTATTTCCTGATCCTGCAATGCTCTGACCCGAGATTTTTCCGTGGCTAACTTCTTCATTTCAAGAGTAGCTCAAATCTTATCTTCTAGTCACTCCTGACAAGTTAAAGCAACATATGGCACACACAAATATCACATCATCCAATTACCGTTTGTCTTCATAAGTTATCTCTGCCTGAAATTATGTTGGTTGTTTATTTACACTGTGTAATGCCCTCTCTTAGTCCACTTCCTGCTGCTATAACACAATATCTGAGACTGAGAAATTTATAAAGAACAGGGATTTATTCCTCATCGTTCTGGAGGCTGAGAGAAGTTGGAGAGCACGGTGCTGTATCTGGCAAGGGCATCCTTGCTGAGTCTTAACATGATAGAGGGTATCACACAGAGATAAAGGGGAGCATGTAAACTCAGGTCTGTTTTCTTTTTCTTACAAAGCCACTAATGCCATCATAGGCCGTAGACCTTCATGACCTAATCTAAGTCTTCCAACGATGCCACCTCTAGACACCATCAACATGTGTATTTGGGGATTACAGTCTCAACACATGAACTTTCTGGGGACACATTTAAGACAACAGCACATCTCCCTACCCCTAAGTATGGACACACAACTTATAGCTAAGTGCTTCAGGAAACCTTGTTTTCAAGCCTTGTCATTCTTGTTCCTTGCTGAATCCCCAAAGTCTAGAACAATCCTGGTACCCAATGGACATTCACTATTTACTAGGGGATAGACTCCATCTATCCCAAACTTCTCCCAAACTCTGTTTAAGCCATGCATTCCCTAGCATTAGATACTACTTCTCTTGTCTGTTACCTTTTCTGAATTTCTATTGGTCTTCATTCTGCTTACAGCTACACTGAGGAATACAGAACAAAGAACATTAAAAAGGACATTAATGCTAACTGAATCCCACTCGGCCCATGCTGCTGGAATAGGGTAGAAAGCCAGGCAAAGTGCTTATTTAGGGAAAAAAGCCCTTAGGGACAATATCATTCATTAGTGCAGCTCTGAAGGATAGCATCAAAAGGAATTATGGAGGTGGTCTGTCTGTGGCATAAAAAGTACCGCATACCCTGCAAACATTCAACAGATCTTCAGAACGTCAATGTGCAAGATTCAAATGCAGGAGTTTTCAACACGATATGGAGATCCACAATCTGGACAAAATCCCTCAAGTGTTTCTTATGCGTAGTCCTTGGAAACATTGACTTCTTCCAACCAAAGGATGAATAACAAGGGATGGTATTACCAGGTAGATGGTTTTAACCAACAAAAATAATCTTTTTAACCTCTATCCTGAAGCTGATTTCAAGACAAGTCAAATTCCATTCCAGTACTTGATGAATATTTAAATTCATTGACCTGTTAAGTACAACTTCTAGCCATTTTAAAACTACTCTATCACGTGGCAGCTATTATGGTTTTAGGTCATCACTGTATCACATTATCCCAATTTACAGATGAAAATACTGAGCTTCCTTTAAATAAATGCAAACAAAGAGTCAAAAGTAACAGATTTGGAAATCAAACAAATCTATATGTTAATTATGTTCTATACCTGCACTAAATTTTTCTTTAATAGAAGAAAACAATAAATAAAAATTTATATTTGTAAATGAAGGCAGGGGCTTTTTCTCCTAAATATTCCTCACTTTAGAAAGTTTGCATAGGATTCCTTTCATAGTGAACTTTGACAGTACATTTAACAATGCCATGGCAACTTCTGAAAACGAATCTTAAGAATTTTTCTATAAAGAAAACAATTACTCTCTTAATCAGAAACACCTAGTAGTAAGAGCTGGTTTACTATTTACAAATCTAGCAGTGGTTCCCAAACTGAGCTGATAAACAAGAATTACTTGAGCACCTTAAAAATAAAAAGTCTAGCCTCCACTCTAGTGCTTCTGAATCAGAATCTCTAGGATGTGACCTCCAAAATAATATTTTAAGCTCCTCAGGGTCTTCTGATGAATAACTACAATTATGAATTTTTGTTACCCTAAAACCAGCATTTAAAAAAAATAAACTGAAGACCTGAAAAAAAGGTAAGATCTGCCTAATGACACACGCTTCTAAGAGGCACAGTAAGCTGGGAAGACAATATCCTGACTCCCATTGGGTCCTCTTTGTACCAATTCAAACTGTGTTTTGATAAAACCATACTTAGTTCTGCTGTACTTGTACTTTGCTGAGTTCTTACTACTCGCTATCCTCATGCAACTTCGTTCTTTCTCATCTGCAAGCTGAGAATAATATTAGTACCTACCTCTTAAGAGTTTCTGTATTAAATAATACATCCATTACATAATGCACTTAACGCAGCGCCTAGAATATTGTGAGTACGCATTATCTAGGTTACGTAACCCACTAAAAAAGCATGCCTATTTTAATTGGAGAGGATTTACTGAACCACTCTAATTACAGAATGTACACGAAACCCATGTTTAGCTTTGGAAATCCAAGAGGACCTTAAACTCAGGGTTAAGTTTAAAGTCATGGTATCTAGTGTCTTGTTTTTCCAGCTATCATCTACTTCTGTCAAAAGTTCACTTCCTAGAGAATAATGCCTCTGTGAAATGAACTAACTTCACACAGTGTTTCTCCTAGGACGGCTCAGAATCCCTAAAGAATCAATCCATCTCTCGGTGAAAATCCAGAATCTACATTTATAAAAGCCTCTTCCTCCTACACAGGTTTGATGACCGTTAGTATACAGAATCCGTGACCACAGCAAAGGGCTCTCAAGTCCTCTCTGCAAGAAATTATCCTCCTCTGTAACCAAAGAGCAGCGTCATCAGGCCCTGATGCAAACAACAGCTGGCCCCGGCTGTGCTGAGTAACCCTGGTGGTCACCAGGGACAGACTCGACCCCCCTCACCTCCTAAGAAACTTAAAAAATTACGAAAGCACCGTTCCGCGATCCCCGCGGTAGACACAGTACTGCCTAGGCTTTACAACGAGCTAAGTTTGACCCAACAGCGTCCTTGCCGGGGGCAAGGGCAAAGGAAGGCGACCCTTGTTGGCTGACCCGCCCCAAGCGGCGCCAGAAGGTTAACGACCCTCTTGCCCCGTTTGTCTTAGTGGCGGAGAGTCTCCACCACTCCTCGCACCAGCTGCCGGAAGTGCGTCATCCAACCTGCCGGGCATGCCGGGAGTTGTAGTTAAGTCACGAATTCTCTTGCACCGCAATTTTTTTTTTTTTCTCAAATAAGAAAACATCTTGGAACTTCGAGGGGAAATGTCACTGTATGCCAGACGGGTCTAATATTCCTTCCCTTTTCCAGTCGATTGTGCGAACGGTCTCAGCGCTCAGGCGGAACAGCGAACTACAAGTCCCAGCATGCCTCTCAGGTTTCCTGGAGCGCCCAGCCGCCGCTGTGGTTGCGGGCCGCATGAATGGAGCTCCTGGCGTGAGGCAAAGCCTGGCACCGTCCGCGCCGTCGGTACCTGCTCCCGGAGCGTGAGTGCGGGCTGTTAGCCGTGCGCGTGCGCGCTCGGGGGGGGTGTGGGGAACGCGAGGTGAGCGCGCCCGGCCGTTGCGGGCGCGTGGCTGCTGAGGCTGGTGGCGGCGGCGCGCGCCCCACGGGCCAGTAGTTGCTGGGCCTCGCGCCTCGCCCGTGTTGCGGGCAGCCGTGGCGGCCGCCGGGGACCGCAAGGGGCGGAGGAAAGGAGGGGGCCGGCCCCGGCAAGCGGAGGAACAGCCGAACATGCCCCGAGACAACATGGCTTCCCTGATCCAACGGATCGCCCGCCAGGCGTGCCTCACCTTCCGGGGCAGCGGGGGCGGCCGCAATGCTTCCGACCGCGGCGCGGCGTCTGGTTCCGAGGCGCCGATGCCGCCTGGCTTCCCCGAGAACCTGAGCAAGCTAAAGAGCTTGCTGACCCAAGTCCGCGCAGAGGACCTCAACATCGCCCCTCGCAAGGCCACGCTGCAGCCCCTGCCCCCCAACCTGCCGCCGGTCACCTACATGCACATCTACGAGACTGACGGCTTCAGCCTCGGCGTGTTCCTGCTCAAGAGCGGCACGTCCATCCCGCTGCACGACCACCCGGGCATGCACGGAATGCTCAAGGTGCTCTACGGCACCGTACGCATCAGCTGCATGGACAAGCTGGAGGCGGGCGGCGGGCAGCGGCCGCGGGCCCCGCCGCCCGATCAGCAGTTCGAGCCGCCGCTGCAGGCCAGAGAGCTGGAGGCCCTGCGGCCGGGCGTCCTGCGCTCGCGGGCCGAGTACACCGAGGCCAGCGGTCCCTGCGTCCTCACGCCGCATCGGGACAATCTGCACCAGATCGACGCCGTGGACGGACCCGCCGCCTTCCTGGACATCCTGGCCCCACCCTACGACCCCGACGATGGCCGGGACTGTCACTATTACCGGGTGCTGGAGCCATTGAAGCCCAAGGAGGCCTCCGGCTCGGCCTGTGACCTGCCCCGAGAAGTGTGGCTCCTGGAGACCCCTCAGGCCGATGACTTCTGGTGCGAGGGAGAGCCCTATCCAGGTCCCAAGGTCCTCCCCTGAGGCCCCCTGTTCCCGGGAGCGGTGGGCCGAAGATGTGCCCTACCTTGATCAGGGCCGTAGGGCCAGGCTGCCTGCGACCCACCACAAGGGCTCTCTCTCTCTGCACCCCCAGCCTGGGCTTTGGATCTACTGGCATGACCAGCAACCGCTTCCTTGGCAGCCTTAGGAAGCACGGGCGACAGCAGCCACTGGGCACGGTTATGGGGGCGGATGGGAGGCGAGGTTGTTTCCTGGTACTGTCACTGCCAACAGGGCTTTGGTTTGGGGGAGTGGGGCAGGGGACTCTGAAGCGCTTCCATCCTAAAGCCATAATGAAAATACTCTGTTCCCCATTTTATACAATACACTAAGTGGTTTTCTTTGACCCACCTCTTGGGTGAATAGGGATTGTTTTCCACTTCTGCCCCTATGACCTTTTGCCCCTTACAGTTTTAACTTATTGACTATGCATGACCCAGTGGTTTGAATTGCTTTAGTTCAAGTCATTGGTAAAAACTACCTTTAGAGAGATAAGCTACTTTTAAAGTAAGCTATCCTGTCTTAATTCCCTGTGAAAATTAAGTCATCTTTTCAGAGTTTGGGGATCACCCCAAGACATTACTATGCATGTCAAGGACAAGATTTATTTTCTTTCCTCTCCTTGCCCCATGGCTACCTACATCTGTTTTTCTCAGGCATTGTCTACTAAGAAATTCAGCACTTGCATATTTCAGAGAGAGCTGGTCCCTTACAGCTTATCCTCCCCATGAGTCTCCAGGTCTGTCAGTTGAGCAGGTTTTTTTTGTTGTAGATTCACCTTTGATTCAAAGACTATTGTCTTCTAGTGACCTTTTTCTTAACATACTTTAAGAGATAGGGTCATTCTGTATTTTCTAACCAGAAGATTCAGAGAAGCTGAATCTGTTATGCTTCCAAATAACTGTAAAACACTCCTAACAAGCTGTTGAATTCCATACCCCTGTGTCTTCCTGTAAAAGTAGAGAAAAGTATGTTAATGACTGTTTCACATTCTCCCAGGAACTCTGGTGTTCCAGAAGGCTGTGGTTTCAGCTATGTTGCTGGTGATGTTGTCTCAGCCCTCTCAAACGGGAATGAGTGCTTGCTTCATCCAATGTGGTTTTCTGTAGGAAGAGTAGATGATCTAGGCTGGAGTTTTGAGAATTGACTACTTCTAGCCATTTTAGAACCAAAACTTGGGATTAAACGTTTCTCACTCCCAACTCTTGAAATGAATAGTTGTGCTATGTGTAGTTTTATTTTTGTTCTTTTACTAGGCTGAGCAACTTTATCTTGTTTACAAGTGTGTTGACACCATTTGTTTCAGGCCATGGAGCACTGTTTCCCTCTTTTTACTATTTATAGGATTCCTTTTTACACTAAACTTTTCATAAAAACAAACTGTAGAAATAAACACATAAAAATTTGCCCAGCTGTTGTCTAAGCCCTCTTGATTGACTTGCCCAGGTGACAATACTTCTAATATCTGTAATAAGAGAAGATTTACTATTATTGATGGAAAGTGTTTGTTGATCCTGGAGGAATATGTGCTTTTGCCTCATTATGCACACTAGGTTACAGAGACCCAGGGTGAAGGAGTTTTTGTTTCCAGTTTTAAAAATAATATGAAAAAAGCAATTCTTGACCTTATTAATAAGAAAAGGTACTTATTCAACACAACACTCCACTAAGCCCCTGTTGTAACACCTGACACAGGCATAATAGTAAGCATCTCCTCCACCTTGCTGAAGTTCAAGTGTGAAGTGGTTCTTTGTGTCACTCAGTTTGAAAATCAATTCCAGATAGGTAGATGATTTTCTTAGACAAATAAACAAAATTTTTTTCATAGTAAAGCAGTGAGCATTGTGTGGACACCAGTCACATAGTTACCTTTTTAAAATTACATTGTAGCCAAAAGGTGATTATTTACAAAGATTGTTGAAAGCGATGTATATGCTACAGTATAATCTAGAGAACATTAAACACATAGAAACTCATCCTGGAAATAGAATAGTAATAAAGGAAGAATTTTTACAAAGGATTTAATTACAAAAAGTGTAAAGCTCTCAATTATAAGCAATTTGGAAGAAAAACTAAGGTGCTTTTCAAAAGAATAACTGAAATTGTTCCAGGCCAAAAGAGCAATATGTTGTCTTTCTAATTTAGTTCAGGAACAGTGAAACTTTTGATGCACTAATAAATTGAGTAAATTAATGGTGAAAATAAAATGTAATTTGTTTTAATGAGCCACTGTGGAAAGAATATGCTCATTACCAAGACACAATGTGGTGCAGAAAAAGCCTTGCACCTCTATGCAGAAACTGTTAGAACTGACTTCCTGTGCTGCTGTTGAGTTTCCATATAGTCCTACAAAGTCAATTATGTTTTAGTAACAACTCTAGGATAAGAGTTACCTTACCCTAGGAAAGACTAATGAGCACAATGGTATTAATCACATAACTTTTTTGTTGTATAATACATGCAATAATTGCTTCTCGTGGATGAGAAGTTGGCTAAACACTTACTGAAGCTTTTAAATTCTCTATAGTTAACATTGGTGACAAGTTATGTCAATGCAGAATTTTATGTACCTACCTACTTCTTGGAGAACTGATTTTTTAACTAAGACTGATTTGATGAGTTGAGTTTATACCAAATGGTGTTTATTAATGAAAATGGTAGTCTGCTTTTTAAGTAATACATGTTTTATCAACAGGAGTCTGTTCTCTGAGCTTTTAATGCAAACAGCCCTTCTCCCAAAATAGACACCTTGTATTCCCCCTTCTGTTGCCTCCTTGTAGCCTTAGTCTTGGCATCTCAGAGGACTCATCACTCTATTGCAGATGATTCTGAATCTTGTGTTCTAGTTCTGCCTGGCAAGGAAGCAGTGTATCTTTAATGTAAACCTCTTCCCATTGCTATTGTAGTCTGCCCTGATAGTAGTTAGGTTTAAATTCAGAACTTAGGGTTATAGCAGAGCCGACCACTGGTCAATTCCATGGCACTGAGGTCTGCCAGCAGAGAAAGAAACCATTTGTTAATGATGCTGAATCTTCAAATCCAGGGATGTTGACATTTCTGATTAAAATCAGTGTACTTATGGAAAATAAAGGCATGTTTTAAATTACTTAGAGATAAGTCTTGTTTATTGTGAAATGGAGAAGGAAAACATTACTTATTATATCTATGTTTTGATCACTTAAAAATTCAGTCTATACTGTCAGATTATATTGTACTAAAAGGTTGTAGCCTACAAACTTAAGTTCAAAAATAATATAAACTTAAAATTAGTGATCTTTGAAATAGGATGACCAAAACACATCAGAAACTATATCTAATTACACTGTTATGTATAACAAAAAACTTTAGTATTTAACCTAAAGAAAAAACGATAGTATAAAAACAAAATTTTATTCTAGAATCTTAAGACTTGAATATTTTTCTTCTCTTTTTTCCTATAGAATTTATGTATTTTTCAGTTTGCACTGGTATGATATCTGTGTTGATACTGACCATTCTTTACACACACACAATGTATTGAACTGTTAAAATGTTACTGCAGCAATTTTTAGTAATATATGAACCAGTTTAGTTTCATTAGCAGTTAGGATACTGAAATTAAATAGCATGGTTTATGAACCCTTGAGAATCTTATTTAGGTTTAATCAACCTGTTTATAATATGAATTGAGCAAAAAGCTTTATGACTTTTAAGAAATTATTTTTCAAATGAAAACTAATGTTTTCAGTTTTTAATGAAAACTAATGGTAACTGAAATATCTATCTGTAGTACTCCATAAAGCATATATAAGGGATTAAAAGGAAATATTTTATGCCTGTTGAGCAAAGTAAAAACTGAGATGTCTTTTGAAAAGTGCCCTGAACATTTAAGCAGACAGGAAAATCTGATTAAAGACACTGAACTAACATGCTGAAATCTAGGAGTAAAACCAACAAGGTGGGCCCTGAGAAAACAATGAGTGTGTTCCTTATTGGATGTGTTACTGCTGCTTTACCAAGCCAAGGTGAAAGTGATTACGCAACCAACTTGGCAGTCATCAAAATGTCTTCAATCTTACTTTAAAAATGATGTTTAGTCTATTGCTTTGTAAACAGTGGTTTAGATTGTCTTGATTGAAAATGGTTTAAAATTAAAGTTTGGGAAGGTGATTACATATTGTACAAAAGTTGAGTGTACTATATTTTAATATGAACTCTTGGTAGAAGGAAAGTATTTGTTAAAAATACAATTATAAAAATGTGATGTGTTTTATACTTACCAAAATTGGATAAACAAGAATGGAAATATGCTGATAAGCTGGGAAATATGAATAATGGGAAATTACAGGTCACTAGAAAAAAATCTGACTCAAGTTTTGAAGTCACTAGTAGTACTAGAGAGCTCTCTACATCCTTGAAATAGGGCTGGAGAAAGATGACACAAAAGGATTTATTAACCCCATAAATTTAATCTCAGATTCCAGTGTTGCTAAAAGGTGGTTTCTGGGAGTAGCTGTGACTGCTATTCTGTAATATAGGCCATCATTTAACAGTCAAATCTGATTGCCTCTTAACAGTGAACTGCAAGCACATGATGGGATTATTCTGCTGTAACTGAATAGTGGGTGCTCCTACATGTTACATTTGTTTAAGAAGCACTGGATACTAAGTGATATTTAGGTCCAGATCTTAAAGATAACTTCACAAAGACATGATCTGTTTGCTTCATATGATAAATTAACAATTTTGGGAGTGATTTTGTGTTTTAAGTCACAAAAGGCTTCTAGTAAAATAACAATGAACCCTATGGTGTATTCTTTTCAAACCATTATCCACTATTCTAAAGGACTACATTTGCACAGTAGCCTTTCTTTAAGACTTTTTAAGGCTAGTGTAGTTTGATAGTCACCTCTAGACCCACCAAACCCATGGCAGATGAATTATCCTTCCAAATAAGGGTAATCAAGTGGGAAGTGAGGACTGGAGAGAAATGAGTCCCAGGGTAATTCCTTTGGCAACCCATTAATGCTGTCATCAGCAGTGTCTGACAGCATTTTTGATCTGAAGAGGTGATAGCACCTTCAAAAAGTTTTTTGTGGTCATGAAATTAACGCTGGAACCTGAAAGTCATTTCCAGCTTGACCACGCCACCACACTTTCCACAAAGCCACATCTTGAGTTCCAGGCCCTGGTCAGAGTTCTGATAGCAGTTGCAAATGTGTAGTCTCCGAGTGGGCACTTGTTTGTAAGTATTTATTTTCCGGAGCCACTCAGGGGCCGAGAAGCTATAGGCTGTTAAAGAGGACGGAACAATGAGTCAAAACAACGCCTCCCCAGATTTATACTAATGCATAAGGGAAATCCCCTCATACTAGTGTTTGATTATGAATGGAGGTTGGAGTAAGAGGGTAGGCTAGTAAAGAATACGTGAAGGTTCTGGCTGTTTTGTTTGTTTGTTTGTTAATAGTTCCACAGGTGTTTAAAGACTTTAATTCCCACCCAGTAAGCATTTCACAAATAATTTCTGCAGCAAGAAATATTGTTGAAAAGTATTTATTTACACTATAGTCATAAACCATCCATTATCTGAATTTCAGTTAGTGGTTTTGTGTTAGAATAGATCATTTATTTTTCCACAACTATTAAGAGCTAATAACCAAACAAATCAGCTCTGGTAACATTATGTACATTCTTACCTGAAATTTGACTACAAAGATAACACTTTTAAGTCACAAAACAGAGCATACAAAAATATACTTTCTAAAAAAAAATTCCAAATATTAATAGGCAGAAATATACAGCCATACTTAACCCAGGGAGTGATTTTTTTTCTCCATAGTAAGGCAACCCATTTACATGCAGACCCTGTAACATTGTCTACATCACACAAGGCACCAAGGACACTTCCAACACAATTGCATGCATCCTAGTTTTCAGAGACTATATGTACATCCCCCTTAAATAAGTTAATCTCTGACTCATTTCAAGAGATCATAAATGCTTTATATTTTTTCCCAAAGGTTCAGAACTTGGAGAACAGTGCACATCAAAAATACACAAAATCTGAGTGGATATACACTGGAAAAATAGTCTTTACGTTTCTCAACTCAAAAAGGAGCAGATATTGCTATGTCCCTCCCATCACATTGCACTTCTCTGAGTTTATAATACATATTGCTTAAAGGGTTGAGACGACTAGATAAGCTTTGATTCACTGTTATAGGGCTGCAGAATGTGGCATAAAGGCCATGCCTCACTCACTGTACAGGGTTCCCCAAATCAGTCCCAAGCCATAAAGTGCACATCAATTTTCTTGTCTTTTTGCCATCCCCACTTGAAGGGATCAGCATCTCCCAACCTACTGTAGAAAAAGTCTCAGATCAACTCTGACATCCATGGTCAAGAAACCTGTAATGGGCCCAAATAAAGGGAAGGGGGAGCAAAACCTAGTCAAACCACCCTTTAAAGCAGGGTCAACCCTCTGGCCTCTAGGCCTGGAGCCCTAACTCCATCCCCTTTGAGCCTCCTCTCCATTGCCTTGGAGTGATAGTCAACTCACCTAAGAGGGACTAAAATGGGCTAAGTTTCAGGAAGGACCTGCTTGGAAAAGGAAAGGAGCAGGGCTGGGCTCCACCAAGGCCCATTGCCCACCAAACGTGGAGGGAGGAGCAGGGAAGGGTGGTAGTGTTTATCGTGCAGCTGGAGTGGACCAAGGGCCTCTGGGGCCTCAAGGAACTGGTGTGTCAGCCTGAGTCTCATCTCAAGGTGTCCTGGTCCGAGAGGAACAAGGGGCCAGTGGCCCTCCGCCAATAGTGCTGTTGCTGCTGCATAGGTTGCCCCCAGCCTGTGAACCCCCAGTGCAAGAGGCTGTGGAGGGGGCCGGCACCGATGAGGAGGGAGCGCTGCTTTTCCGCTCCTTCTGTCTCAGGTGGATCTTGGTATGGCGCTTTCTTTCGTCACTCCTGGCAAACTTACGGCCGCAGTAATCACAGGCAAAGGGCTTCTCACCAGTGTGCGTGCGGATGTGAGTGGTGAGGTGGTCACTACGGCTGAAATTGCGCATGCAAATCCGGCACTGGAAGGGCTTATGCCCTGTGTGGATTCGGATGTGCCGGGTCAGCTCATCAGAACGGGAGAACCGCCGGTCACAGCCTTCTGCTGGGCACGGGTAGGGCCTCTCATGCACTGGTGTCTTGCTAGGTCTGTTGGGGTACTTGCGAGGCCTCAGGATGGGCCGCAGTGGTAGGTGGTGTGGGTTATAGGTGGCAGCAGCAACTGCCGCTGAGCTGCTGCCTGGCAGTCTGGGTCCCTCACTGCCTCCACTGGCCCCTGATCCTGTGACCCCAGCACTGGGCCCCCCCAGGTAAAGCAGCTGGCACCAGGGTACTGGGGGTCAATGGAGAATTTGCCCATGTAAGTGAAGGTCTGGTTTCTGGGTGCAGAGACAGGCGCAAAGCTGCTAGGGTATGGGAGATCCAAGGACCTCTTCTCCCCAGTCATGTCAATGTTGATCATGCCATCTGGGGAGAGAAAAGGCAGAATGGAGGTGAAGCAATGAGAATGCAGCCAAGAATCTCTTCTCACTCCCTCACCTCCCTCCTCAGTCCATTCCCAAGTTCCAGGTTCCTGATACTGTAGAGCTGAGGCAAAGTCCAACAGTTGGGAAAATTGAGGCCTAGAGACAGTAAGAGGCAGGAGTCTGGGACTCAAGAACGACTTCCAAGAAAGCAGAATGAGTTCCTCCCAACTCCCCCCACCCCAGCCATCTGTGGCTCTAGTCCCCAATAAAAACAACCAATAATAGCAACAACAATATTAAAAAATTTCCCATCTGCCTGGAACTTCTCTCCCACTCCTTTTCCTGATGGCCCCACCGCCGGGTAACAGGACATGCACTACTCTAGACAGGACCAATCCCAGTCAGTGCAGAAAAGGGGACAGCCCAACAGAGAGAGAAACCCGAGAAAGGGGGTGAGTAATTTTTCCGGTGCTCCTTATCCCCCATGTCTTCTCTTCTTCCCTCTCCCGCAGCGCGCTTTCGCTGAAGGCTGCCTGAGGGAATGGGGCTGCGGAGGAGAGAGTCCATAGGTTTCCCTTCTCTCTCAACAACCTCAGCCTTGTCCAACACCCGCGCATCCCCGCCCCAGCCCAAGGCCAGTGGCTGGGCTTCGAGCAAGGCGCGGAGGCTGCGGGAGACGACTTTCTACAGTATCGCCAAGGAAACCCGCGCCGCCCGTGCCCCCGCGGGCCTTCCTCCGCAGTCCGGGGGCTGCTTCCCGTTGTTGCTCACCCCCCCTCTATCGCCTCCCTGCCTCCGCAGGACGCAGCCGGGTCTTGCTAATCCACTATGCTGACGGAGCGCAGGTAGGGCGCGCCGTGGGGCGCGCCTTGGGGCGCACGAGGAGCGCAGCGCGCTCCAAGATTTTCCTGGAGTAGGCTCTGCCCAAGAGCGAGCTGAAGACGCTATCCTCCGGCCCTATTAGTCGCTCGGCTCTCCAGACGCGCCCCTCTCACCTGTATCCCCAAACTTTACTATCACTTTGCCCTGTCTCAGGAGAGGGGAGGTGCAAATGCAGCCGGTCTAAGGGCCAGCGCAAGCTCCGAAGCCGAGAGGGGCGCCTCTTCCACCCTTACTCTTGCGCCCTGCCGGCGCGCCGTAGCGCACGCACTCGGGTTCATTGGTGACCCGGTGCATCTGCCAGCGCTCCCAGCCTCAGCGCCCTAGTCCCTGTCTTCTCCGGCTCCTCTACTCACTTCAGTCTTTAAAGCCAGTGCAGTCAGCCCGGCCGCCTCGAGCCCCAATCCTGTCTCCCGAGTCCCGCACACCCACCGCTCCCCACCCACCATCTCCGAGACGTACAAGTCCTGTCCTGCGAAGAGGACACGGGACTTACCTCCGGCCACTCCGTTCATCTGGTCAAAGGGGCCTCCCAGTTCGGCATTGGGGAAGATGGTCACCGACGTGGCGGCGAGGTCCTCCACCGGGTAGATGTCAGGCAGCTGGTGCACAAAACCACTGAGAGTTACTGGGATTTTGTCTACTGTCTTGGCGGTCATCATTTGCTCCTCGCACAACCTGGAGACCCAACTCCCTCGCTACCTGAAGTGCCAGAGAAGCCGTTTTGGAGAGGGGTTGGACTGAACCTCGATAGGTATCTCCTTTTGCCCTCCACACTTAGAAACAACCACCAAAAAAAAAAAAAAAAAAAATCCAACAGAAATATAACTAGCAAACAAGTTGCCTGTTTCTTAGAGAAAGAAGAAAAATGGCTATTTGCCACTGACTCTCTCCTGTCTGTGTTCCGGCTGTGGGGAAGCCGGTGTAGTGTTATTATAACAGTCAGTGTGTCCCCTCGCCGAGCTATTAATCAATTGCTGCTCTCTCAGTCGGAAAGTGTTGCTCTAAGTATTTATGGGCAGGTCTTCAATGCCCGTGACGTCGCTGCCCATATATGGACTGAGGAACAGGGCTGGGCCAGGCGGCTTTTGCCGTCACATGGCGGATTTGCATACGGGTTCGGCCTCGCGGGCTCGGAACTACCGGTTCGCTGCCGGTGGAAACCTGCAAGGGTCTGTAGCGCGCGACCTGAGCTGCAGCCCGGGTCCCAAGAGTAGGGATCAGCAGGGAGGGGGCGTGCCACCGACCCCGCTGCAACCACTGCAGGAGAGCAAGCGGTTAGAGATTGCGGCTCAGCCTCCCCGGGCGGGGAGGAATTCCGGTTCTCCGGGACTTTCCAAAAAAGGCGAAGATCCGGTGATGGCGGCTCCGCCCCCCCAGCCCTTGTTTGGGAGCCATTCCGGAAAATTAAACTTCGGAAAGAAACCGAGCCGAGCCGAGACACTACAGTCAAACCCCTACTCACTTTCTTGGCAGCTCAAAACCGCAAGCAAAAGCAGGCAACAAGAAAAAAAAAAAAAAAAAGCTACACGCATTCACGGAAGCTGACTGCTTTTTTCTGAATTACTTGGTGGAAAGAAGTGGCTGGTGATAAGAGTGAATGCGGTATTGCTTTTTTGGAAAGTCTGTTCTATTTATACAAGAGCGAAAACGGAACAGGTTTGGGTTGTTTGTTTGTTTAAGTATTTTGGGCATCTTGGGGCTGCGGGGGGTAAACCCTAGCTGCAGGAGCTTCGAGAGAAATCCTCAGCCGGAGACACCCTCTTCCTCTGCCCGCGCGCTCCCCGCCCCCCTTCAGCTGCTGCGCGGATCGGGCGCCCTTCCCGGCGTGTCTGGGCGGCCGGCTGCGTGGGGGCGTCCAGATGGAGTCTTGGACACTTACCCTGCCCCACCACACACACACTCACACACACTCACACTTGCTCCACTTCCGCTACACACATTCCCTCCTCCGCTGCCCTCTTCACACACCCACTCACACACCTTACGCTACACACACACCTCCCTGTTGACAGAGCGCGCCTGTGCGCCCGCCTAGCCAACTAGGTTCCCGGGCTGCAAAGCGGACGCCCAAGCTCGCCAGACAGGACGCTCTGCAAGCTCACTGTCCTCACCCTTACTACCTCTCCCAGTCACCACCACAAACCCCCTGACCCCCGCGATCACACTCTACCGGGGGACGTCCTGCCTGTAGTCGAGCCCTGACCAGAACGCACACTAGGAAGAATATTCTTCCTCTCCCTTGCCAAGAGCCACCTCGGTAAGTCCAGCACGGTCTTGAGTGACGATAAACAGTGTTTCCAACACTAGTTTCGAGCTGCTATCGTCCCACTCGTGTTTCCCTTTGCAAGTTAAAAGAAAGGAAAACAAAAAAACTGACCCCTGTAGAAACCTTTCTACTTACTTCCCAAAGCAAATTTTAAAAACTTTTCAGAATCCTAGATAGAGGCGAGTTGTAGCTCACTGGACGGCTCCAACCTCCCAGCGCGCCCAGCCCACACCAGCAGTGCTCTGGGCCTGGCCAAGGTCCTCCGGGAGACTGATCCCCGGTCCCCAAGACCCGCGCGCCGGCGCCCGCTTGGCCTGTGGTCGCTGGTGCAGACTGCGAACTGTCCCCGCCCTTGCCCACTGCAAAGGCAGACATGGAGACCAGGGATAGAGCGTGGGGGCAGTCAGAAGGGCCGGGTTCGTCTCTTTCCTTCCCCCTACTCTGAGCAGCCCCAGCTTGGAGGGGACCCCGGCGGGCAGGAGCCACGGCGCCACGCCGTGGAGGGAGCGCAGCGCTGCAGACGCTCTCCACAGCTCACCTGCTGTGGCCGCAGGCACACCGCGCCAGCTCCCGCCTGGTCTTCCACACTATGGTCAGGGGGCCTGAGGCAGCCAGAAGCCGTCTCCGCTCCTCTATCCAAGCATCACTAAACCCCCCTGCCTGAGGCAAAAGTTGGCCTCCGGCACCGGCCAGCTCCCTGACTTCAAACACCCAGAGCAAATTTGGGAAAGTTTCTTGCGCTCGCTGAGCCGCTCTCTTCCAAATGGGATGTAAATGAAGAAATCGCAGCAAGGTTGGTACCTTTGTGGGTATCAAGCTCAAGTTTCCATGTCTAAGGAAAAAACAAAAAGAAGAAAAGAAAGCTGCGTTCTTACCACGTGCGCCAGTCCGCTCCGCCTGCGCTCCGGCGGGTCCCGCGGCCCCGGCGCTGACCACGGGCAAGACAACGCCTCAGAGGGAAGCCCGACTCTCATCTCCAGCCTGGGTCCGAAAGAAGGGGGGACGAATTATGCAAATATAGAGCCCGGCGGTGGGGCTCGAGTTACGGCCCCCCGCCAGCCCCAGAGGTGAGGCACCACCGGCGGCAGGCGCGGGCCGGGCGAATGCTCGCGCTTCGCTCTTCTCGGTGCACGTGGGCGGGCGGGCGGGCAGACAGGAGAATTGCCACAGCCACCCCTCTGCGGGCGCTGCTGCCAATACCACCGGCTGTCGCCGCGCGCCGCCCCGAGGGGGAGCTCCTGGACGCCGGAGTGCCAAGCTAGCCGGGCGCTGAGGGCCGGACATCCGAGAAGGTTGGATCTCTAGAGGGGGAACCGCACGGCCTGCAGCCACCACCCTTCGCTCAGGAGGAGGCTAATGGGGGTAAGATCCGGGAGGTAGCCCCATCCAGGAGTCTCGAAAGCATGTTAGAGTGAGCCTGGAGTGCCAGACCTCTGGAATTCCAAGCTTCCCAAGGACTCTCTCACCCCCTTTTAGAACCTTTGGAGTCACGTCAGTGGAGTGCCAGGGGTGGGGTGGGGCAGGGTCAACCAGGAGCTGCTGGGAGGGTGAGCATGCTCCCAGGAGCATGCCTGGGGCCAGTCCTAGGTAGCCTTTCCTGAACCTCCGCTAAAGTGGATCAGTAGATACTTCCTGTAACCTTTTTTTTTTTTTAAAGAGCGTTTCTAAGTACAAACCTGTAAATATGGATAGCGCAGATAATGAAACAAAATCAAGGAGCACACATTTCAAGTCAGCTAGCCTGTGGATAGGTAAGTTCAAAAAGCTAAAGTGACTTGCCTAAAGCCACGCAGCTGTTAACTGGTCGAGTTCAAACCTGCCACTTGGTCTTCGGAATCCAAGCACAGTTCTTGGTCGCTACATCATGCACTGAGGAAAACCCAGTGCCAGAAAGTGAACAGTATGTTGAGGATTTGGAAGCCTGGCTCAACCTACTGGAGAAGAAACAAGTCACGTCGGTCATTTTCATCTCCTTTCTTTGGTATTTCTAAGGAGAGGGAATCTGAGGTCTGGGCTTTCTAAGGGCAAGGGAGAAGGCTCTGTTATGGGGACATGCCCCATCTGTGTGAAGGGAAATTTGAGTTTGGGTCTCCAGACCTGTGTTACGGGTGGAATAACCACGTTGGCACAAAGCCAGCGTATTAATGGTGCTGTCATAAGAGAAACCAAATCCTCAGTATCCTTTCTGGAGGCAAGAAGAAGTGAGAGGAGAAAAATGCAGTGACAAATAAAAACTCCAAAGGTGATCACTGAGCAAGACACGGGGCCAGGGAGAGAATGAAGAAGCCAGGAGGGAACTGTGGAGTTGAGTACAAAGAAGTCTCTACTTCTAAGCCCTTAAACTCTTTTTTGTTTTCGTAAAATAATAAATAAATGACTTTTAAAAAGTAGACTTATCAAAATATCCAAATAAATGGGTCATTCATAACATATTGCTCCCACATTCAAATTGGCTTTGTTGGTATTCCAGACCCAGGAAGTAAAATAAGAAAGAATCAGAGAAAACCCTTTAGTAGACTTCTTTGGGGCAAGGGGGGGGGGCAAACATAGGAGGCAGCCAGCAAGTCCTCCAGAGACCCCTCTCTGAGTGGTTTTCAGCTTTTTCCCCCATTCTTTTTGTGTGTGTGCTATTTGATTTTATTCACACAGAGGTACCATTTTTTTCTGATAAGATCCCCCCGATTCTTAACAGTTCTTATTCACAATGTGGTGACAGAATCACAACCAGTCAGAAGGCATGTCACAAATAATTTAACATTTGTGTTTTGATTTACTAAGAAACATGCTTGAACATTATTCTAGGCTCTACCTATTGTAATATGTCATTTTCATTCATCCCCATTCTACTACTGCTGCTGCAGTGAGAGGTAAAGAAAAGAGTGTCAGAATTTTCCCTAACTATGGACACACAGAACACAAACTGGATCCCTAACTCAGATGGCACAGGGCATGTGAAAACCAGGCCAATTTCCACCTCTACCATCAGCCATACCATCTTAAAGATCCCCCTGTAAGCTGAAAAACTAGTAAACCTTTTCCTGTACTCAGGATTACCCTACTTATCCCAGGGGCTATAACCCTAATCCAGGTTATGACAGTCAAGGTTGTGAAGCCGGCATAAAGCATTGCTTTGCATCAGTCTAAATCATGAGTTACTGGCATAAATAATCCAAACAGGAGGCACTAAAACCCTTGTGATTTTACTTTGTTGAAGCATCAGCACTGGTCCAAACAGAAAGTGAACAGGGTTTCTTTTAGCTGTTTCTTGAACAGCCACGTATCCAGTACTTCATCAACAACAAGCCCTGGGGTGGTGTAAAACCAGGTGCCTAAGACCAGGACTGGTTCCCATCTCCACAGAGCTTGCATCAATCACACTGTGGTAAGGTACAT